GATAAGCAGGTCATGCGTCAGCCTTTTCCCCAGCAGCCCAGGCTGTTTGGAAAGGCAGAGTGGGAGGCAGACCCTCAGCCGGCCTGACAGCAGGGACTGCTGAGCTCAGGGTTCTCAGGGGCCAAGATGGGACGGGGAGATGGGGGTCGGTGGCTGGGACAGATTGTGCAGACAGTCTGGATTGTGGAGGAGCTGCCAGGCGCAGGGCCCTGCTTGGTGCGGGCGGCTGTGGGGGAGGCTGGAACTGCAGACTATTTTTAGGCTCCTGCTGAATTGAGAGATGAGGATGCTGCGGGCTACAAGCCCTCCTTCGCTGGAGAAAGGCTAAGGGGGCCCCAGTTCCCCCCATTTGTCTCCAGAGCTCAAAGTCTCCAGAGCTTCCTCTTTTGTCTCCAGGGACCAAGGGCTGGGGTCAGGAGGTGGACTGGAAGCGTCACCAGCACCCCAGATATGCAAACACCCACAAGAGATGATTTCCATACCTTTTGCACGCTGCCCTGCTTCCTGATCAGAAGGAACTGAAAAGTTCCCTTTCGGAAGACCCTCAGCAGAGCAGTGCATTCACCCGAGTCCACCTTCGCCTGCGCCACTGGGTACCAGGAGTGTCCCAGGAGGGTGACACAAGCGTAAAGGCAGAAAGCAAAATGGCGTTGTGAGCACTGTGATGGAGCAGCCACTAGGTTTCAGGTAGCAAATCTGTTCCATCTGATCAATTGCTGGTGGCTCCGGAGGAGCAATGCTGGTGAGGGTCCATCCATTCATTCAGTCCACAAATAATTTATCGAGCATCAGCTATATGCCAGGTGCTACTCTAGGTACTGGAAATTTACCTGTGAACCAAAAAGACAAATTCCCTGCCCCCACAGGGCAGATATTCCATAGCAGTGTTGTCCAATGGAAATACAATATGAGCCACACTAGATAAAAGTTGAAGAAGGCGGAGCACAAAGGCTCAAGCCTGCAATCCCAGCACTTCGGGAGGCCAAGGCGGGCCAATTATTTGAGGTCAGGAGTTTGAGACCAGCCTGGTCAACATGGTGAAACCCTGTCTCTACCGAAAATACAAAAATCAGCTGGGCGTGGTGGCGGGCACCTATAACCCCAGCTACTCAGGAGGCTGAGGCAAGAGAATAGCTTGAACCTGGGAGGTGAAGGTTGTGGTGAGCCAAGATCCTGCCACTGCACTCCAGTCTGGGCTACAGAGCAAGACTCCATCTCAAAAAAACAGTTAAAGAAATAGGTAGAATTAATTCTTTTTATCTAGCCAAATATATCCGAAATATTATCATTTCAATGTGTAGTCGATGTAAAAATTCAAGGTCATTTTTTTATATTATGTTTGCAAAATCCAGCATGTCTTTATACATACAGCACATCTCAATTCAGATCAGCCCTATTTCAAGTACCCAGTAGCCCTTAGAGAATGCAAGTTCTAAAAGAAATGGCTCATCTGAGCTCAGGAAAGCAATGCCACAATTGATGAGCAATGTCTGCTCCAGGAATGGGCTAGAGCTGAAAGGAGCTGCAAGCCATGTGTTTCCCCACCATGACACCAGCCCCAAGGACGAATTCGCCTCCACCTAAGCCCTTCTGAGTCATTCATTCAGCCCAACTTGAAAGAACCGCCAGAGCTCTGGGACCTTGACTTGGTTTGGGGGCAGCAGTTCTGGTGTGAACATCATCCTGTAGAAAGGCCACACCAGGCACCTCTGGGGTGTGGTCCTGTGCTCCTTCCCTCAATGGGGGCTGACTCACGGTCATTGGTGACCTTGAGAATGTGGGTTTTGTTTTTTCCCAAGGTCTCTTCCTCCCAGAGCTAACAAATACTGACATAAACGTGTTTCCTGAGCCAGATTTAGCTCTTTCAGTCCCATTCTACTGGCCCATGCCTGCAGACCTCCTGCCTGGCACCCTAACCAGGATGGCTGCACTTTATTTTCCAGGAATTGAGAGGCTAAAATTGAACCATAGAAGGAGCTAGAAACACCTGGAAATGGTGAGGAGCGGGTCTTCGGTGTAAAGAACGGGGGTGAGAAAAAATGGATCTCAGGCTCCCATCATCCTCACCGTTATTATCATTATCATCTATCCTCACCCCTGCTCAAAATCCTTCAGTGGCTCCCTAGTGTCTGCAGGATCTTGCTTTAGTTCCCAGGATCGGGCACTGATGGAGTCATCTAGTCTCACCTCTAGATACCTGCCCTTCTCTCATCTTATTCATTCGATAAGAATGTCTTGAGTTCCTACTATGTGCCAGGCACTGTTCTAGGTACTAGAGACACAGCTGTGAACAAAACTGACAAGGATTTCCGCCTTCATGGAACTCACTTTACTCCAGCCAGGCCGTCACACCCCAGGTGCTCTCCGACTCCCAGGCTTTTGCAAATGCTCTTCCCTCTTCATTCAGTCACTCTCCTCTTGGGAGACTTCTATGCACCCTGTAAGGCCCTACTGAAAGCCTTCCCTGAGCACTCCCCTAGATGGGTTAGGTGCTCCCTCTAAGCTCCCACCTCCCACCTAGGTCACACGTGTGGTCACTATCCAGCCCACCTCCCTTCCCTACCAGGCTTTGAGTGTCTCCAGGGAAGGGGCTGCGCCTTCTCCCCCAGCAACCCCAGAGCTTGCTTCTAGGCGCACCCTCCCAAAGATCAGGAGTGAGTAGGTTGAGGCATTAGTGTAGGGGGGATCCAGGACTCCTCTGAAGAATTCCAGGTCATTCTGAAAGCTCTGCCAGGGAGCATCCTCCTGGCACTCCAGGGGAAGGAATCACAGGAGCAAATACGTAGAGTGGTTCAGCAAAGGAAAGGAAGGTGGAAGACGGAGAGAGTTGGAAAGAAATAGTAGGGCCATGAATGCTGGGTCCAGATGCACTGGCCTGCAGCTGCGGGGAGCTGTTAAGGGGTTTGATGCAGCAGAGAGGCAAGAGGACAGAGCCTTCCCCTGTGGGGAGAGGATGACAGGACGCGTGGACGGGAATAAACCATGGTGACTCTTCAGATTCCTAAAGTGGGACGGAGGCAGAATGAAGTCTCCAGCTCCCTGCTGGCTTCCCCAGGAGAGCTGAGCTTTCAGTCTCATCCCTCGTCCTCCTCCCCAGTGAGAATGTGCAAGAGAGGGCAGAAGGGTGGGCCTGACTCCTGCCCCTGGCCTGGCCCTCAAGAAGTGAGTGCTGGCACCATGGCTATGGTAAGAGCAGATCCTCCCACCACCTGGCCCAGCCTAACTGTCCTGCCCACACACCGCCAGCCAGAGGCCTGCTGTGCTGCTTGTCCACTGGGGAAAACAGGGCAGGAGGCTTGTGCCTGGCTGGCCTCCTCTCTGCTGGCTCATTTACATGGAATTTACACGGGCTCATTTCATGCCTTAATGCACATGGCTTTACTCCCAGCCCAGCCTCTCCTGGTGCCTCCACAGAGACAAAGGAGTGGGTTCCATCACTCAAATCCTCTGCCATGGAGCCATCAGAGCACCAAAAGCATCTCTGAAGGAAAAAGGGGTGCTGCTGAGGCCCAGAGAGGGCAGGGAACTCACTGGAGACCACCAGCACCCAAGGAGGGACCAAGGCTGCCTCATACTTTCTCCACTCACCACTCAGCCCTCTTGGGGCTAGAATTCACTCCCATCCTTTGCTTTGCCAGGATGAGCTTGCTGAGCGGAAGCCCGTGAGGCCCCTGTCCTGCTGCCCATGCTTGGCTGTGCGCTGGAATACAGACAGACCAGGGCAGACAAGATGTGCAGGAAAGGGATCCGCAGAGACCCAGGCCCAGCCCTGCCTTCTACACAGGAGAGAAATGAGGCTCAGGGAAGGCAAGGATCTGCCCAGGACTGCGAATGGTGACAGCAGCCCCAGGTCTCTGCCCCCAGGTGCCCAGGGTTCTTCTGTGTCCCCCGAACTCCCAAAGACCCTTGTCCCATGCACCTGCTGAGGCCTTGGTGCCCCTGGGAAATGCTGAGTGTTGGGGGAGAAAAGAATGGGGAGAATCCTCAGGAATGGGCTGGCTATGAGAGCGTAGAGCAAACTGGAGCAGGAGGGAGCACCGCGGGTGGAGGCAATTCCAGTCCTGTGGGGTCCGCCAGAGCCATCCAGAAGCTAGGCTCAGATAGAGGGGACTGCCCCAAGTCTGCCATGGGCCCCTCCAGCAGTCACTGCTCAGGAAAAATGCCTAGCAGATTCCAAAGGCCTAGGTCCTTGCCTCCAGGAACAGGGGACAAAGAGAAGGGAACAAGGGGGAGGTGAGGCCTCTGGGGGACATCTGGACATCTGCAGTTCCCCCTATTGTCCCTGCCCTACATCCCAGAGCCACTGCCCTCATCCTGACCTCTACCAGCCACCGGACAGCCTCCTAACTCCCCTCCATCCTCCCACCCAGCCTCAGAGGCTCCTTCTGGCACAAGCTTATGTGTTCTAAAACCTATTTACTTGATCTTGGAGAGAGCTCTGAGTTTCTACAACTCAAATCCCACTTCATCATTCATAAACCCTGCCCTCAGGTCCCTCCCTACTCTCTAACCCTCACCCGGACCCCTACCCTGCCTGGAGCAAATCCTATTCCCTCATCCCCTGAGAAGGCACCAGCCTCCTGCACACACAGTCAAGGCCACAGCATCCCACAGTGCTGCATTTGATCGGCTTTCCCTCCAGAACTGCCCCTTGAAGCTAGGGAGGCCTGAGGCTGTTCCTGGCATGGCCCAGGCCAGGCTTCCCAGGAGAAGCAGTGGGAGATGGAGGCTGGGAATGGGGAAAAGGGGTGCAGGAGCTATCGGGGATCTGGGATCAAGGCTCGGGCAGGCAGCACACTGCTCAGGAATCATGGGTTCAGGTCCCCATTCGTGCCTCTCACTAGCTAGAGCCCTGCTGAGCTCATTCCTGGGCTCTAACCAGGACACTTGAGAGTGCATGTGATGCTCACATGGCCAGGGGGTGGCGAGTAATACACAGGAGCCCCACCCTCAACCCGGGACAGACTGGGACAGCTTTGTAAGCAAGGAACAGTCACAGGTAAATAAATAGCTCGTTTATTAGTAATATGTTACATTATTAAAGTGCATTGAGAAGACGTACGGGGCCAAAGCTGGGAGGCCGCCAGCCCCAGGCCCTGCCCTGGGTGGCTAGACACAGCCGGAGAAGGGCCCAGCTCCCCCTGAAATGGATGGACAGGGCTGGGGGCAGGGCCGCTGCCTGGAGAGCTCGGCCCAGGCCATCCTCACGGGAATTTTCACAGTTTAGCCTAAGTTATAACATGTCCTGAGCAAAGGTGGGAGGCTAGAAGCATGGAAGCACAGCCCCTGGGGAAGGGGGCTGAGGGGAAGGGAGGAGACCCCCGCCCCCCAACCCTCAACGCCAAGGGCAGAGTCCTGGAACCTCCCCCTGAGGACCCGGCTCCTCCTTCTAAATGAACACGGCAAATCTAGGGCTCAGTTTTCTCCTTCATTCTCCCCTGTCTCCCTCCCCCCGCCATAACCACCCCCAACACTGGGGGCTCCAACCACGTCCCCCCTCAGACCGGGCTCCCAGGGCAGAGCCAGCTCATGCCACTCTCCAAGAACCCACACCCATCCGTCTCCAGACTCTTATCCTGTCCTCAGGAGCCTCAGACTGGGATCACCCCCCTCCCCAACCCATCCCTTCCCAGCCCCTCCCTTTCCCACCCCCACCCCCCCCCCCAGCATGTAGTTTTGGTATTTTCAAACAGATGCAGTCAGAAGTAGCTATACATGAAATAAGCCTAACATAAAAATAGAGCTTTTTCCGTCCTTCCGTCCGGAAAGCAAACATCCTTCAATAAACATGCAAGGTGGCTGTCCTGTGGGACTCGGGGCCAGAGAGGGAGCTGCAGAGGACAGGGCTGGGCAGAGGGTAGCCCCGGGTCTTCAGGAACACCAGCCATCCAGCCACGGGAGAGGGAGAGGAAGGAGGCAACGTGGGCACCAAGAGTCCAGAGATGGGGTCCCAGCTCCCCTTTCCAAACCCACTCCCCGACCCATGCATTTAGTCAAGTTTGAGGAGTCTCTGAAAAATACTTTCCAGAAGATAAAGTCTTGGGTCATTGATGCCCCAGCTTCACAGTCGGTGCCCTCATGCTCAGCCCCTCACTGCCAGTGTGCCACCTGGGGCCCAGCAGTCGCCTGTGGGTGGACCTCTCCAGGCCTGGCATCCTCCACTGGGTTATTCTGTCCCCTGGAAGAATCAGCAGTCAAGGAGCTCCCGGGCCAGCCAGCTCTGAGTGTGAGATGTTCTAGTGCCCTGGGCTGCAGACGTCTGAGGGATGCCCAGCCCCGGGAGGCCCTAGTGGACCAGATAGCCGAGAGTGAGTGTGGGCAGGACCCCCAGCCAGAGGGAGGTGGCCAGGGCATGGGCGCAGCCCAGCAGGTGCTCAGCCATGATGTCGTCCTCGGGTAGCAGCTGCCAGTGCTGAGCCTCGCGGAAGTAGGAGCCCTCCTGGGCCTCACAGAAGTAGTGGCCGTACTGCTGGGCCGTGAGGTTCTCGATGAACAGGATGCAGTTGGGGCTCTGGTGACCAGGTTCGCAGCTCTGCTCCACGTTCTCCTTGTGGCGCCAGGAGTAGGTGGCGTGGCGGGATTCCATGGGGCAGCTCAGGTAGTAGCGAGAGTTCGGGGCCAGGGAAACCTTTTGCAGTGGGGCCTTGTCTGGGGAGGCAGCGGGAAAGCAGCCGTGAGGAGGGGCCAAGCACGCACAGGGTCGGATGTGCCCTCCCCATGGACTGGGATCCCAGGACAGGGCTTCTGAATGAACGTGGGGAACCCCCTCAGCTTCCTCCTTTGTTCTCTTGTCTCCCTCACCCCACCAAGAGGGCTCCCTCGCAGGACTGTAACCTGCTTCATGTGCCTGGGGCCCACAGGACAAGGCCATGTCTCCTGAAGACCGGGACAATCAGGGCAAGGCCACACCCCCCTCATGGACCACAGTCACCACAGGGCCAGATCAGGTACCTGGTTTTGGGTTGGGGCACTCCTTGTGTGGCTCGGCTGGATTAATGGACTGCAGCACTGGCCTGGAGTGACAAGGATGAAAGAGGCTCAGCAGACTTGGCCCGCCTGTTTTCACCCCAGTGCAGCTCCAGCCGAGAGGAGGGGCCCACCAGAAAGGCCCAGTACCGACACCTCCTCCAGCCCGTCAACACCTCCCCCACTCCCACGCCTACCTCCTCCCAGGGACAACGGATCCCAGCCAACGTACCACGGGGCTCTGTAGATGGAGACGCAGCGGTCCTGGTCCCAGCCGCAGTAGGGGTCTCGGGACATGAGGCAGCCATGGCAGCCCCCACCATAGACCTCACACAGGTCCAGGGGCACTTGGCTCACCTCCCACTGGGAGCTCACATACAGCTTCCTCTGGAAGGACAGCAGGACTGGGTCAGGCCCGGGCCCCACTCCACATTCAATCCTAAGCGCCCAGGCCCTAAGGCCTAGAGGCTCTTTAAAGAACCACAAATCACATGCAAAGGAGCCCTGTCCTCAGCTGTGGTCACTGCATAGCCCATGGGATGTGGTGGGGGGAGGCTTACCCGGTCAGCATCCAGCGACATGGTCTGGATGGCAGCCGCGCGGCGGAAGGGCTGGATCTCCACGACGTTGAAGACGAGGCCACGCTCCCGCTCCCTTGGCTCGACCACCTTGTGGATGGTACCCTTGTCTGTGGGTGGTGTGCAGAGGGTCAGTGGGCGGGAGCCCCACTGTGGAGCAGGGCAGCCTCCCTCTAGCCTGGGGAGAGGTGGGAAGTCCCGGCTCAGGCGAGGGTCACAGGACTGGATAGGCAGGGTGAGGAGAACGTGACTGGGGAGGAATGTGGGAGCCCGAGGGCAGCCCAGAAGCTTCCAAGGCTAGTCCAGAAAGGCCATCCTGGGAGATCTAGGGGTCCCTGGATATGGCTCCCAACATGCCCAAGGCTATGCAGGAAGCTGTGGCGGGAAGAACAGAGACAGGAGCCCCACACCCGCAAGGACAGTGCAGCTTCTGTCCACGCATCACCTCATCTAACCCTCCACAGCCCTGTGAGGCACCTGTCATCTTCCTCACCCCACAGATAAGGAAATCAGGAAATCAGGCTCAGAAAGGCTAAGCCACTTGCTCAAGGTCACACAGCTGGCAAGCGGCAGAGACCAAGTCAGAACCGAAATTGGTCAGAGCCCAACCACTCAGCAGCTTCTACAACTCCCCTGCCTCCTGGACTCTTTAGGGAATATATATACTTTAAATACATTTTTTTATTTTGGAGTAATTTTAGATTTCCAGAAAAGTTGCAAAGATAGTACAGAGAGCTCCAATCTACCCTTCTCCAGTTCCCCCTAATGTTACCATCTTACATAACTACGGTATATTTGTCACAACTAGGCAACTGACATTGGTGCATTACTATTAACGAAACTACAGACTTTATTTGGATTTCACTAGTTTTTCCACAAACGTCCTTCTTCTGTTCTAGGATCCAATTCAGGACTCCGCACTGCATTTGGTCTTAGGGGATATCTTAATTTTATAAGATCTAAAAAGGATCTTGGATGTTGTTTTTTTTTTTTTTTTTTTGAGACAGAGTTTCACTCTTGTTGCCCAGGCTGGAGTACAGTGGTGTCATCTCAGCTCACTGAAACCTCTGCCTCCTGGGTTCAAGGGATTCTCCTTCCTCAGCTTCCCAAGTACCTGGGATTACAGGTGTGTGCCACCACACCTAGCTAATTTTGCATTTTTAGTTGAGATGGGGTTTCTCCATGTTGGTTAGGCTGGTCTCAAACTCCCAACCTCAGGTGATCCACCCGCCTCAGCCTCCCAAAGTGCTGGGATTATAGGCGTGAGCCATAGGGCCTGGCCTTGGATTCTACATCAAGGGTTCTCAAGCTCTTATAACCGAGCTGCCTGCCTCCTAGACCAATGCTCTCTCCATTCACACGTAGGGACTAATGGGCATCCTGACCCCTGGTCCTCCCAATCCTACCTCACCTGCTGTCCCAGTTTCTAGACTAGCCTACCTCCCTTTCTCCCTCCCTCCCAATTTCCCAGGACATCACTGCCCCAAAAAAGCAATCAGATAATCACCTGCCTAGGACGTTTCCTCTGCACATCTGTGATCCTCATCTGTGGACTCTGAGATGTGGCCAGATGCTCCTTGGGCCTGCTAAGCCCCCACCCCAGCCATTGCCTTCACAGACATACTGCCCTGCACCTCCTTCCAAAGCAGCCCCAGCAACAGCATCCCCCTAGCAAAATTATCAGGAACAGACGCAGTAGGGGTATAATACTTCTCCCTGTTGTGAGAGCCTCCCATTCTCTACAGAGGACTCAGAAAGCTCTATTTTTAAATCTAGCCCCAATACAAATGCTGCAGGCTCCAAAATGGTGTGGGCTACACGGCCCTCAGAGAGAACCAAGACACCTTCCCTAATCACTCAAGTGTGCTCACCTCCCAAGTCTCCAGGAGAATCCATGGCCCAAGTCCAGCCTTCCTGGTCCTAGCTCCTGCTCCCAGTCCCACACTGTGTGACCTCCCCTGCTCCCTGGCCCTGCCATCCCCTGGCTGACCACAACAGCTATGCCAGCCACTGCTGGAGCCAAGCAAGGACAAGGGCCCAAGGGTGCAGCTGTGATGAAAGAGGGGTAAAGAGGTAGGGACTCAGGACTCAGGACCCAGGCCCTGCTCTGTGGGAAATTCCTCTCCCCAAGGCTTCCAGGAGCCAAGCAATGGTGCTGGGGAGTTTCCTACAAGGTCACCAAAGCTGAAATAGTCCCAAGGTGAAGTAGCAACAGGAAATCACATGGGGAATGTGACAACTGAGGGTGGGTGCCTGCACCTGAACTGTATGGCCCCAGAGGTGCTAGAGGCCCTTTCCAGTTTCAAGGAAGGCAGCTGGGATGGGAAGCTGCCACAAACCCAACTCAGGGCTGGCTCCTCCGTGTCCGGTGGCTTTCCAGAATACAGGAGCATCTCCCAGGAATTCCACCTAGCTCCTCCCAGGGCAGCCTGCTCCAGGGAAGAGGAGAAGCTGCCATCATCCTCTGTGAGACGCCAAAGCCTCTGCCATCTGGAACTCCTTCCTTGTGCCTAATTTGTGTCCCACCAACTCCTCAAATGTTTCCTCTCACCTGCACAATCTCAAAGAGAGGAGGAGGGCCTGACTCCCTCCTTCTGCCTGGTGGAGGCCAAGATCCCTGTGGTTCAGGCACAGGGCCTGACTCCCTCCTCATTTACCACATCTCTTCCTAACATCTTCTTCCCTGAGTCAGACATCTGGACCAAAGGTGGACCTGGCTTTGCTCAGACTCTGGATTTCTGCCTCCAAATCCCAATGCTTACTTTTCTCCCATCCCCCTTTCTCTCTTGCCCCCACCTCCTCCAGGAAGCTCTCCCTGCCTGACTCTTCCACACTAACACACATTAACCCATGTCAACTCCAGTCACTCAATTCTTCCTTCCATGTGTAAAGATCCAATCAGATGTTAACATTATTCCTTACCCCTCCCGTGCCCATTTTTACAAAGCAAACTGAGGGTCCCGGGGCAGCCTCTCACCTGTAGTTAGGTAAAGCACGTGAAAGGTGTCCCCGTGGCTGGCCTGCATGCGGTGGACGACTACTTTCTGGTAGTGGTGTTTAGAGTGGAACAATGGCGTCTTCAGAGGCCCCATGGGCTCCACCCTCTGCGACACCTCTGGGTGACGGTCAGCCACCTGGAAGGTCTCTGTGGGTATCGGCTTCTGGTATGAGAGGCACTGGGCAAGGAGAGCAGGCACAGGTCAGTGGGGTGGTGGGAGGGGAGGGAAGAGGAGGGCTGGCTGGGCCTGGGCCCCGGCTGGTGTCACGCTCACCTTGCCAGGCCGAGGGTTGGGAAGGCTTGAGTAGTAGCCCTTGAGTGAGGAGGTGCGGAAGACCTTGTCAATATCACCGAGGGAATACACGCACACGGCTGAGTAGTTCCTGCAGTGACACGGAAACCAGTTCAATGGGGGGCCCAGAACCCACCCTCCCACCCCCGCCAGCCCTGTGCCTGGCACTGAGCTCCCAAACACCACTGAAAGGAGGGAAGCATGGAGAGGAGGAAGGAGAGAGGGAGTTCACCCTAATTCCTTTCTGCTGCAATCTAAAGCCACAGCCTCGAGTCCTGTCACAGAATCACTGAGTCTAGAGGCCATCTGCTCTACCCAACCCCAGGCTGGGCTGAATCCCAACATGAGCTGAGCAGCTCTCTAACCCTCCCTGGGCACAGGCTATGGGATGCCGACACCCCAGAAGGCCAGACCCCCAAACCCTTCCAGTCTGGGGGGCTCCACCCACCCAGGAGCCACAGAGCAGGGTCTTGGCTTCTTCTGCTCTGTCCCCCAACTCTCCCCACGCACACCCAACACTTTTGCCTGCCTTGTTTTCAATCAATGAGAGTGATTAAGAAGTGTGAATTATCAGGCGCAGGCAGTGCCTGAGCAGGTGTGATAGCACCCAGCTCCCCAAGAGACGCTTCAGTAGCTTCCTTCCGGGCGCAGTGTCCACTCAAGGCCCACACAGGTATTGGGACACACAGGCACAAGTGCAGTCATGAGTGTGCATATAGGCCATGCACACACACCCATGAGTACAGCCTCACTCACACAACAGTACACACATCACTCTGGCTGTCCCCCACCCCACACCCAGCAACAGCCCCACCTCTTGAGCCTGCAGACCCTGCTCGTGCCACACCAGGCAGGCCCTCAGCAGGGCCCAGGGCCTCCTGTCCCTACTGGACACGGAACCGGTGCCAGCCCCAGCCCCAGGACGAGGGCCACCCACCAGGGGTTGGAGAAAACGCCGTAGACCCTGGTGTCCCTCCACTGGCCGCTGGGGTCGGGGAGCAGGAAGACGTCCTGCAGCCTGTTGAAGTTCTTGTTGGTGGCAGCGTCACTGCATACCAGCATGGCTTTCAGAAAAGTGTTCCACTTGGAGACCGACAGTGAACTCTCCCCGCCCTGGTCCCCCTGGAAGGGCAGAGGGGAGAAGAAGCCCCTCAGCACCTGCCCGGGCTTCTCCGCGCACCCCAGGGAACCACTGCCAGCAATGCCAGCACATGTGCCCAGAGGAAGAAGGCAGGCTGTGAGGGGCTGGGTCCTGTCAGGGGTGCCCCAGGACTCAGGCCAGGTCTCCAGATGAGACTCCAGCCAGCAGGCCTGGCTGACCCAGAGCCCAGGGCCAACAGTGCCCATGGTCAGGACAGGTGAGAGTGCCAGGTCCCTGCAGAGCAGACAGACTCAGACACACATTTACCAACTCACACAGATGGAGAGGAGAAAGGAGAGAAGGAGAGCACATGGCACAGCACATTTACACAGGCAAAACACACACACCATCACATTCACACATGCTCGCACACCATTATACATGCACAGGAGCTCACCATCTTTACCCACACATAGACACATGATGTTCCATGCACACACAGCTACTCCCACAATCCCAGACACAGACCCACTCATACATCCACACAACTCCTGCATGCACACAGGCACGCAGAACTCGTCCTCACTCAGGCCTATTCACACATGCAGACATGAAGCCAGCAGCCCGCACGCCCCTGCTCACCCTGCATAGCTGAGCCACACGGGACACGTTCAGAGGAGCCTCAGGATTCTTGTCAGGATTGTCCTCTCGGAAGAAGTAGTAGATCTTGTCATCGTAGGCCTGGTCTTGGTGCACGATGGTAGCTTTGATGAACTGTGGGTCTGCCAGGGACAGAGGCAAAGGCTGGAAGCTAGCCCGGGAGTCCACCCCAACCCCACACATGCACACTCTCCTCCCACCTTCAGGTCTGCACAAACCATGGCAAAGCAGACCTGGAATAGGACATAGAACATCAGGTCCGGCACCCCAAGGGCCCTAAACCCTGCACCTCCACCCCACACCTGTTTGGCCCCCCTCCTACAATGATGTCATCGACCCAGGAGCAATGACTTCATGCGTGGGGACTGGGGGAAGGTCCCCGGGGGCCCCTATGTCACTTCTGTCCAATTGGCAGAGCCCTAATGAGGAGGGAGTGGGGGGCTACCTCCATGGGAACTCAGCAGAGGATAAACTTTGGCTCCTGGGGACCCTGCTCTGGGTCTGGAGCTCCCTCTGTTTGTGTTCCTCAAAGAGGGCTGGGGCCCATCCCACTGCCACACCTTGTCTGTTCCTCTGCTCCCAGTCAACCCTAACTCCTCAGGCCTGTACCAAGGTCCTGCATTCCCATATGGCCCCAGCAGCCCTCAGCGAGTCCTCCCAGAGACATCAAAATCCCATCTGCCACCCTAGGTGCTCACACCCCCTCATCCACCCTCAGCCCAGCCAGAGCCTGACTCACTCTGCATGACTGTATCGCTGGTGTACAGCTCAGTCTCCCCCTTGATGCGGCGGAACCGAGGGATCTTCCCATTGTATTCCTGCTTCCGGATGGTGGAATACACCTCGTCCCCTGGGGATGGTGGCAGGGGGCATGAGTAAGAACAGGCAGCTCCTGGAAGTCCCTCCTCCCAGCACTGGACAAGGAGCCTACCATGCCTCTCCCAGCCCAGTTCAGAAGCTCACCGCTGGGGTGCCTGCTCCAGCACTGCCCTACCTTCAAACAGAACCAGGGAGTTCTCTTCCGGGCTGAAGGGGGCATAGCCTCTCATCTCGCCAAGTGGCACCACAGTGCCATTCACCTGGGGGAGATCCAGAGAGTCATGTAATCCCATAGCCATTGCCCCCATGATGGCCAGTTTCTGGGCCAGGAGCCCCATCCTCCCAGGGTGAGGCCAGGCTTGGAGTCTCACCATCTCCTTCCCACCATGAGGGGCAGAAGCCCACCCAGTAAAAGGCAAGCTGATTAGGCACATGGGGAGTAGCCTTCTTACCAGGTTCCAGCAGCTGGGGTGCCGGGCATTGGTGCCACAGGCCAGCAGCCCCTCACCCCGCCTCTCCAGGAGAGTGATATAGTTCTCGCAGTCCTGCCCAGGGAAGAGAGAAGAGAGGAGAAAAGTTGGTTGCTGGGAGGCCCTGGCAGACCTAGCACAAGGACCCCCAGGACCCCCAGGACTGGGGAAGAAGGTTTCAGAAGGGCTGAGCATAGGTGACAGCCTCCCAGGACAGCCCAGCGTGGGTGCAGCTGGCGCCATCCCTAAGCACAGAGGACCACATCTCCCCATCAGAAGGGGCAGGGCCATGCTTCCTTCCTTTACCAAGGGGCTCAGACCCCACCCCCCATTCACCCTCCCCCACTCACCCGCTTATCCAGACAGGACCCCTTTGTGGCGCTGATGTTCATCTGGGGGAAGGGGAGAAGAATTAGTTCACTCTGCCGGGGTGAGATGTCCCCGAAATGCTTTCCATGCAGCCTCAGGATCAGCTCCGGAGGAAGTGACCATTACTCTCATTTGACAGATGAGCAACTGGGGCTCTGAGAGGGTGAGCAACCTACCCGAGGTCACACAGGCTGCTGGGTCTCATATCCAGAGTGGAAGCCCAGAGAGTTCAGAAAACCAGCCATGGGTTCTGGGGCCCAGCATCCAGCCTGGGCTTTCTGCGGCAGTGCTGCCCAGCTAGCCAGGCCCATTAGCTCCTGTTTCTCTCCACACCGCCCCGGCTCCCCACTCCAATCTGGACTACCTTTAGGGAGCCTCCCCCAGGAGCCATTTATAGGACATGGAGGTGGGGGCAGTTTAGGAAGAGATACCAGCTCCCTCAAATTCCCTGAGGCCCCTCACCAGGGCCAGAGGGGAGATAAGAGAGATGGGGAGTTGGGGGAAGAGAGGCTCACCGTCCGCATAGATGCGTTCTGGTCCTCGGGGAAATCAAAGAGGTAGACCTTGCCGCGTCCTCCCACCCACACGGAGGAGCTGCCTGGCTCATGGAAAAGCACCGTGTGCAGCTCGGTCTGGCCGAAGTCCACCTGGTCCTGCCCTGCATGGCCTGAGGAGGAGGCAATGAGTGGAAACATTGAAGCCAGGCCCCCAGAGAGAAGATTCTGGATCCCCTCCACATGGCATGCTGGAACCTACTTGACAACCAGTGCCTGGTGCTCAGGGTCCTGGCAAGGCCTCAGACAAGCTCTGGGCTGGGTGGCACCCAGACTCAGAGAGCCAAGGACAGGAGAAGTAAGAGATCCTCTGGTAGGCTCCAGCAACCGGCTATCCTCACCCACAGCACGGCCCCTCCCCTGGTGTGGCAGCCTCTCCTTCCTTCACAGTAGGTATGACCTCAGAGTCGGGCAGGGTTTAGGGGCCTCTGGGGGCAACGGACCCCCTCCTCTGGCACACAACACTCTTGAGGCGCTGGGCTCCTCGGCTATGCTCTGGGAGGCTCTCTGCTGCCCTATGACTGAGCAAGCGACTCCCTCCCTCTAGGCCTTTCAGCAGGCAGGAGGGCCTCCAAGCATTCCCCCTTGGAGTTCAGGTTCCCAGCAATCACAATGCTCAGAATCCCTTCTCCTCCTTTGGCAATCCCTCTCCAACCCCTCCTGGCCCATCCCCGGCCCCTTAGTGAGCACTAGACCTGAGAAAAAAAGGAATATCAATATCTACTCCCTCCCATTTCACAGATGGGAACACAGAGGTCAAGGGAGGGCACACAGAAGCAGGTCAGTAGCATACCTTGAGCCTATGCTTCTGCCTACCAATCTGGACTCTGCAGCATAGCCCACTTGGTCCCAGTTTCACCCATGGAGATGCTAATTCTCCTGGGGCTGAAGATCAGCTCTCACTCCCCAGCAACTCTGGGACAGAAGGACCTCCATGGAGCCCAGCCTGGGCCTTTCAGCAGAAAGGCTGACTGGGAAAATTTTGCCCAAAAAAGGAACTAACTGCAGCCACTGCCTCTGGGGAGGTGTCTCATCTCCGGTGACACTGCGGAGGCTGTCCTGGTTGCAGGAGTAAATTATAGGAATGGGACGGCCTGCGGCTGTGCCCCCAGCAATCAGCCACAGCCAGTATCTTCCCACCTCTGACCAGCCTGGGGCCTCACCCAGGAACTGGGTCTGACCACTATTTTTTCAGCTGCAGAAAACTCTGGGGCAGCCAGCTTGGCAATGACACCCGAGCTCCAGCTCTGAGCTAAAAGAACTACCATTGCCTCAACTCTGCTCCCAAGCCCTCTCACTCCCACTGGAGCCATCCCTACCAATTCTGCATTTAATGGGGGCAAGGAACAGCTGGACCACACACTGTGAGCCCACACCTTCATTCCTTAAGATACATTCGTTCGGCTGGGCGGGTGGCTCACACCTGCAGTCCCAGCACTTTGGGAAGCCGAGGTGGGAGGATCACGAGGTCAGGAGTCTGAGATCAGCCTGGTCAACATGGTGAAACCCCATTTCTACTAAAAAGACAAAAAGTTAGATGTGCAGGTTGGTGCGCACCTGTAATCCCAGCTACTCAGGAGGCTGAGACAGGAGAATCACTTGAACCCAGGTGAAGGTTGCAGGGAGCCGAGATTACGCCACTGCAATGCAGCCTCAGCAACAGAGCAAGACTCCTCAAGAAAAAAAAAAGATACATCCCTTCATGGCCAGGTCACCCCCAAAAGTGATCCTTCTTTCCCTCTACTGTGGCCTGGCTCACTGGCTCAGAGGAGAATGCTGAGGTTCCCTGGGAGACATGCCAAGGTCACAGCAGCACCCCAGCAGGCAGGACAGATTGGCTTGTCCCAGGTTGGAGAATCCCAGGAGCAAGACTGGCCAGAGAGAAGTGCTGAGCTCACTGGCCTTGGGTGGCGTGCTCTTCACGTGCACATCAAAAATAGCCCAACTGAACAGCTCTGGAGATGTCAGCCCTTCCTGGCCCCCAAGACGCCCTGCCTGGAGGCCCCAGATGTGCAGAGCAGGGGCTGGGAGGTACTGGTAGTTCTGTGGGAGGGAAAACCATCAGGTCTTTAGTGCTGCCCTGCTCCCCCTCCCTTCCTGGGATAAAATTAGAGTGCTGGGGTCAGCTGCCCACAGACACACGATCTTCCTGACTCAGCTTCCAGGGGGCTGTGGCTCCCCTTTTACCCACAGCCCAAGCCGCAGCTATCATCCCCCACGGCCCAGCCCAGGATCCAGACAGTCTGCAGCCCCAGTTCCCCGCCTGCTCCCCTCCCATCCCCCAGTAGCCAGCCTGGCGGCCAGGAAAAGGTGTGCATGTCTGTCTCTGGAGATGCTGGGCTAGGACCTGAGATCCATAGCCCCTGGGGGATCAGGCAGAAAAGCCCCATCCATCAGACTGTGCTAGCCACCTCCATCAGTCACCTTAGCGCGACACCTGCACCAGGGCCACAGGCCCATGTCTCCGAGGGGGCCAGCAAGGCCAAGGTACAACTATTCAAAAGGAGAGAGGCACTAGACGGGACCCTGGAGGGCCCTTGTCTAGGGATTGTGGGGCTGCTGAAGAGAAGAGGAAAGCAGTCCTGCCCTGGGGAGCTGACGGCAGAGGCATGGCTGGGTCCTGAAGAGCAAGGTCTGCAGGGGTGGCCTGGACCTACTCTGGGAAGACATCTGAGGGGTCAGACAGCCACACTGCAGAACGCTTCCACAGCTCTCTGGCAAGACTGTCTTAGCATGGGCTCCAGGGCTGCCCACAAAGTATCTGCTGAAGACATGAAGGGAAGGTGAGGGCTGCTGGCTGCTGGCTGCTGGGTAGGAGCTGCGGCACTAGGGCCAGGACAATCTCATCCAGATCTGCAAGCCTGAGCCCAGTTCCCTTCAAATTCTAGCGGCAATGGCCAGGGTGGAGGGAGGCAGGGACTATTCATCCCATTTTGCAGAAAAACGAACAGGAGCCCAGCCTCCCATGACCCCAAGATTACTGCCCCTCCCAGTTCTGTGCTTGGTGATGCCTATGGGCTAGGGGGAATTACACCAGCTCAGCCCCAGGACAAGGCCTTGGCCCATTCTGTGCCCCAGCCCCAGCCTGGGCTCCCGCACCGCCCGAGGCCCTCAAAAGGCCTGATTGTGCCCAGGAAGTGTCGAGCGGCAGCAGCTCGATGAATACATGAAAGGAGGCTTTGTTCAGGTTGGCAGGAGCGGGGGCTGGGGGTTCAGGGGCAGGAGGGCTGCCTGGAAGTGAAGGCAGCACCAAGCCATCAGGGGCCAGGATCTGCGGCCCCACCAGATCAGCAGGGAGAGAGCTGGGCCGGGGCGGGGACAGGCTGGGAGCCTCTGTCAAGGCAGGGGCTGAGCGGGGCCAGGGGCTATCCCTAAAAAGGTCAGACCAAGGGAGCATATGTCATATCCCTGAACATTTTCTTTTTGCTGCTTTATGAACCCAAAAGGAGAGGGGAGGTAGATAAAAGCTGAATGGGCCCAGAACAGGTGGGGAGAGAACGCCAGGCAGGGGAAACAGCCTGAGCAGAGGTGGGGAAGCTGGGTGTACAGGGGACAGAGGCCATGCGCTACAGCCTGGCAGAGTCCTAATGAGAGAAGAATGGGGAAGGTGAGCTGAGGCCCACGTGTGATGGGGGAGGGAAGATGCAGTGGGTCCAAGGACACACTGACCCACTGCCCATCACTCTCCCCTGCTGCCTGTTCTCCATGAGCAGGGCCAGGAGTGGAAAATGCCTCCCGGTCCTCCGGCGTCCCCCACCTCCTGGCTCCCCCTGCTTTCCATCCTGCTTGTCTAAAAGGAGCACCGTCTGGCACCGTGTCTCCCCCCTCACTCCCAGCCTGACGCATTAGTGGCTGACTAAGTGGTAGCTAAAAGCTCCCAGAATAACCAGGGGTTCAGGCAGGGGAGGGGGCTAGGGACACACGGGGAGGGCAGAGCCCAGAGGCAGGCCAAGCGTGAGACAACCCACCCCCAACCCCATGTGATTCCCAGCCAATCCTCACTCCCACTGGACCAGGAAGGCACATTCAGGATGCCCCATACTCAGCTGGACTCCACGGTTCCCCCGAGTCCCATTCCTCATGGTGGCAGGGCCAGCAAGGCCCAGCTCAAGCCAGACAAGAGGGCTGCAAGGATGGCTGGGTTGTAGGAGATAACCTCTGCCAGACACAGGCCTGGGTGCTCACGGGGCTCTGATCCCACTGGAAAGAAAGGAGCCTGACTCCTTGGGGCCCCTACCCCCATCACACTCCCAGCAGCTGACTGACTGGGCAAGCCTGGGCCTCTGGGGCGCGTTTCCTAAAGCAGGCCTGCCTGGTGGAGTATGCTTCCTCTTGTCATTCACTGTGTCACCGTCGGCCCACTGTCCCCATACTCATGTTTGTGAGAGAGGAGGGCAGCTCCAGGGAGGGCGGGGGGGGGGGGGTGCTGTTGTCTGTGAAGGGGCTGGGTCCCGTGCTCTGGTCTGGCAAAGCCAGCCTTGCAACCTGACCCACTGACCCAGTAGGCCTTGAATACTAACCTCAAGGAGCCCTTTGAGAATGAATGGGCAGAGAACAGGCTTTGAAAATGGCAGGAATGTGGATACCCCCCACAGAGCATGCCTAAGTCAGGCAGTCAGGGAGGCCCTGAGCCAATGAACAGAAAGCAGCTGACCTCAGGTTGGAGAGCCAGCACATCTGGCAGGAGCCTCCTCCCACGGTAGGCACTGCCAGGCCTACCTCACCCCCTCATCCAACTATGTACTTGGCAAAGAGAGTAGAGGGAAGGCCCACATGGTGCCCAGGAATTAGCCTGCAGCCTCTCCACCTTTTGGAATCCCACATCCACATGTCAGAGTGGAAGGGAGGGGATCTGAACAGTCATTGAACTGAAGGGCATGGAAGCCAGAGAGGCTGGACCATTGGCCAAGGACATCTGTGTCCTTGGAGCCAGGGAAGCTCCAGGTTTCTGGTACCCAGCTGCTTCTCTCCAGGATCACATCCTGGGCTTCCTGGAGAGCCTCTGATTTGCAAAAAGCTGTGTATTCAGCCTCTCCCTATTTCCCTGAATCATCCCAGCTCCCTACCCTTCCCTCTCCTGCTCACTAGGTGCCGAGTCACTAACCTGATAACT